AACAAAACATTCGAAATAGAAAGCCACTTTCAACCACTTTCAGCCTCATATCTCCCGCACCCTTATAGCTATCGAGACGCAACCACCCCTATGCACGAATGGAGACTTGGGACTACCACCACATACAAACACCATTCACGTGCGATGTGTAGTTTTGGCGAAAAAGTGAAATATAAGGACATACATGTCCATTTTTATATATATATAGATAATTGCATCAGAATCTTAAGTATGCTTAAATTTATTTGATAAGAAGTACAGGTAAGCCTCCTACAACACGTAGATACGTTCCTTGAAAATACCGCATTATGGGAAATCGCATTATAGGAGACACCAACTTAATACAAAAACTGGGATTCGGTTCTAAAAAAAGAAAAACTTGGTGTTTTTTGAATTTTTCAAACCAGTCATTACTAGCCACGAATTTAACACTGGTTTCATCAGCCGACGACTGTCCTATTTGTTTTAAATAATCAAATATTTTTAAGGCTTTGTGTTTAACTGCACTTTTATTTAAAGGCAACCGTTTCTTGTTCATATCTTCTATCCATAATATTAGTGCTTGTTCCATTTTTTTTTATTTTTCATTATAGGTGCTCTTGGACAAGCAACATTTTTCGCAAGAATAGATAATCCGGATGCAACTGAATTCCTAATCTTTTCTTACTATTGCTTAATCGACTGAATAGTTGACTCATTTAAATTAAAATGCCTACCAATATCAGCTATCTGCTCGATTTTTAATTTGATCCAAAATTTCTGTCTTTGTTTGAAGAGAGAAATTTCCTTTTTAACAACGATCCTCATTCAACATTGTTATGTCTAAAATTTTTTCAAGCAGTTTTGTGGACAGTAAAAATCAAAAAAAAATAACTTCCCTTCACTATGTTATTAAAAATTACATCCAATAGAAGTTTATACTGTATTTTGGACCACTTCTGCAGTCCCCACCTATTGAAAGAGTATAAATTATCGAAAATTCAGTAATATATTTGAGTGTTTATGGTAACTGATGCACATCTGTCTAGAAACCAGTCTTCTCCTAAAACTTTCATGGGAATAACACGTCAACATGGACAACAGCTGTTTGAGAACATTTAGCTCTGTACACCGAACTGCAGTGCGTATTACGTGATCCGTTGCGATTTTTCTGTTATGTGAAAGATAATTTGTTTCTAAATACCGTAAACCACGTTGTAAGAAAATTTCCGCATTTTTCCAACCGCGTTGGAGCGAAAACACGTTGTAGGAGGTCTACCTGTATCCTTCATTTCAACAATATGCATCTATGCAATGTCCAATATAATGTTCTTTTTCCTTAAAAGTGAGATCTTTGTTAATCCAGGCTTCTATTTAATTCATCTAATTCTACAGCCAAACAATTTAAATTTATTATTATTCACAAGGATAATGGACTATGAATTGTTAATAAAACAACTACTCAATGACAAAATTAGATATCAAACTTAAAATGTTTATTTAATATGATCCATAATATTTTTAATTTAAAAAAAATCAATTTCAAATATCAATTTTAGCATTAAATTATTAATGTATTGTTTTACAGTAAAATTTAAACAATTTATATAATGGTTATAATCTTAAATATTTTAAGCACTACATTACCAATTCCTTTATTTCTTTTGATATAAAAAAAATTATAGATGAGGAGCAAAAAACTTATCAGAAATAAAAATATTTAATTGAGAGATTTCTATTTTATCTTTAATGTAAAGATATAATGAATAGAGTTTATCACCATTCATTGTATTTTTCAAAAGTGCATTAAATTTAGTATTAATACAGAAATTATTTTAAAAGTCCAAAGTCAAAACTGGAAGAGAAAACTTGTAATAAAATGAAAACCACACACACTTTTCCACCAAACAGAATTTATGGAACAAAATAATGTTTTTGGTATATAAAATAAGCCAAAAACATTTGTTCCATAAACTCCTTTGTGTTTCTGAAAAGCATTTATGGTTTTCATTTTTTCTTATTTGTCTATTATTTTTACCATAGCTTTTAAAATATTTCCATAATGTTTGAATAATTACATAAATTTAAAAAATTTTTACTTTGAAAACCTGTAATGTCAGAAAAAATTGTTTCATCAAAGTATAAGCAATCACAAACCACAGGTCACTGCTATGAATGACCTGCGATTTATGGCTTCTTATACTTCAAAAGAAACAGTAGACAATGTCATAGAATGGTAAACAACAAATAGAGCAACTGAGAAGCAATTGATAAAAACCCATATTACATATTGTTGATCCAAATGGAAGAAATGCAAAGAATTCAATAAAAGAACAAACATTAAGTCCTTGGTTTGCAATAAAGGGAAAAAAAGTATCTCACTGAATAATATGTATTTGCTTAAAATTATTTTTTCACTTATAATTTCTCAATTATTATATAATAAAAATTTTAATAAATAAAAAGTACATAAGGGTAAAATCAAAATATTAAATGTGTTAATAATAGTTAGAATTGTTAAGATCAAAAATTAAATCATATCAATGAAATATGATAAGAGATATTGAATATCAAATTTTAATTAAAATTAAAAAAAGTTTAATCTACTTTTAAAACATTACTTTAAAATTAATACAATACTTAGACCTATAAATGTTGAAAAGGAGAGACAGTAATCAATATAAATGTTTTAATAATAAAAATTTAAATGTGTTTTTCTACAACCTATTATGAAAATTAATAATAAATCAATAATAAAATTATTTATAAATGAATTAAATCATTTATAAAATTAGATATTTTTATTTCTCAAAATGATACTATTGTATCATATGCTGCTGTCAGCTGATAATTTTTCACTGAAGTTACAAGACTTTATAAAAACAAATTTATACAGAATTTTGTTTAAAAAATCAAGTGGTGACAGTTTAAACTGTCACCATTTAAAAATCAATTGCACATTTAAGCTATCATATTTGATAATGATTTAACTGTCACCTAAGAAAATTTCAAATGTGTAAGTATAGAAGACTAAAATATAGTACTCAAGTATTTTATCTATTTGTTTTATTTAGTTATTATTAAATCATAAAAGTATAATTACCAGTTAACAAATGTTAAATAAATACAGAATAATTTTCTGAACTTTTAATACAAAACAAATAAAATAAAAATAAACAAAATTCATTCAAATGTTATTAAATTTGTTACCTACAATTTAACTTTTATACTAACAATAATGATTTAAATACAGTATACAGTAATTAATTTAGAAAAATATACATGAAATGAATAAAAAATTCTAAAATATTCAATATAAAATTTAATTAAATTTTAATATAGTTTCTTAGAAATTTAACTCTTTAATTATCGAGATTTTACATTAATTAGTTGCTAAAAAAAAAAGTTATCAATGGATTTCCTTCATTAGATAAGCAATTAAAAACATTTTTACAGCAATAATTATTATAATAGTCCTATAATAAAAAAATAATTTAAAATATTTATTATAACAAAACATCTCTCAATGGTAGTTATACAAACGTATTTTCGAATCATTAGAAATAGCCTTACACATTATTTGATTTATAATACCATAGCTTGTTTTACTATTTAAAATGAAACTTTGAACTTGGTATATTTAAATAATTCTTTTCATACATTAAAATACTGTAGTTCATTCTAAAAAAAAACTTTTCCTAATTAAAACATACATCATAATATACATATAAAAAAAATTTTCAAACATTTTTTTGCAAAATAAAAATAAACCATTAATGTTCATAAATTAAAGTTATTGCAGAAAGAAAAATCTAAATCTGGATTTACTAAAATATAGAAAAAAAATTATAAATTTCAACATTTGCTAATAAATATATGATTATAAAACAAATGAATAAGAATAAACATAAGAAATTTTACAATATACACATTTATGTTTGTCTTATATTTTAAACAAAAGGAACGTGTAATATGTGAATTACACATACAAAACGTAAGTAATTTTGGACTTTTTAACCTATCCTGGGACTTCAATTATGAATTTTAATAAATGTTCAATAGCCCAATTCTAAAAACGATGAAAGAGAATTATGTTACGTTCGGAAATTCGAATGTAATGGAATATGTAATGTTGGTTTAAAAAAAATACGTTCAAATATGAATTTACAGTAAAATAAAAGCATATTACAAATAAAGTGAACAACTAACTTTTTCAATTTATATTAAATTATATAATTTCTCAATGACGTTGTTTTGATATTCAATACTATAATAATAATAATACATCGCAGCAGGTGAAATTCCGTGAAGAAAAATCATTCAAAAAATCAAATATCCATAAATTTAATGTATTTATCAACATTTTTTGTAATAATAAAAATATACGTGAAGTATTTATTAAGTAAAATGCATTTACCTTTGTATTCCACTCTTTTATTCTCTTTTGTGAAACTTAAAGGGGTACTTCTTTCTCTTGTACACCAACCTCTGGGTAAGGGAGTCTCTACTTCGTTTACAGCTGGATAAAGAGCTTTCATTTGATCTTCCAATTTGTTTTCTAGTTTGTGTTCGATTATATGCCCACTATTGGTTCTTGCCATTATGCAATTTCGATTCATGAAACGAATTAAACAATTAAATTTTTTATCCCATTTGTTTCCCACGCTCAACTTCCATCAGCTGATCGAGAATGTATTGCGCCATCTACAAAACGGAGTTTCTTTGTGACAAAATATTTCGGATTTATTTATTATTTATTTTTCTTATTTAATCACAATTAAACATTTATATAAAATAATATATTTCCANCAACAACACCACAGACCCCACACAATACAGACCAATTACATGTCTTCCAACACTCTACAAATTATTGACATCCTGTATCACAAACAACCTATACAAACATGTTGAAGAACACGACATTCTTACAGAACAACAAAAAGGTTGCTGTAGAAATCACAGGGGATGCAAAGAACAGTTACTCATAGATTCAGTCATTCTATAGCAAGCACACAAACACAGAAACATACACATGGCATATATAGACTACAGAAAAGCATTCGACAGTGTTCCACACAGTTGGCTGCTACATTTTCTACACACGTACAAAATACATCCATCACTCATTGCATTCTTCCAAAACACTATGCAGCACTGGAGAACAACACTACACCTCAAGGTTAGTAACACTTCCATAAAAACAAACCAAATATTCATTAGGCGAGGAATTTTTCAAGGAGATTCCTTGAGTCCTCTCTGGTTCTGCCTAGCCCTGAATCCATTATCCAACATGTTAAACAAAATGCAATATGGCTACAATATCAAACATGAAAAAACAACCTGGTTTACGCTGTCACATCTCATGTACATGGACGACATAAAACTTTATGCATCCACACAGAAACAACTTCATACACAAAGGACATACAAATGGAGTTTGGCTTAGACAAATGCAAAAATCTTCACATAGAAAAAGGAATCCTGAAGAAAGATTTTGCACTTGGAAATGGAGAACTTATTGAATCCATGGAAGAGGGTGAATACTACAAGTATTTAGGATTCCAACAGGCCAAACTAACAGAACATAAACAAATAAAGCAAAAATTAATTAAAGAATACCAAAGTAGGTTAAATGCTATCCTCAGAACACAGTTAAATGTAAAACACACATAAAAATCTACATTTTCCAGTGCCAATTTCTAGTAGATAAAAAGCAGCCAAAACCCCAAAAGAAGGTATAGATGGATGTAAGCAGGACAACTGGATGTCACCAGTTCCTTTTTCAGAAATTTTTATAAATTTTAATTGGATGTATTTGTGTTTTTTAAAAGGACTCTTTGTAAATTTCCAGCGATAAGCAGCCTACGAAGAAAGGTCAGTCGCCAAAAATGTGTTAGTCTTGGAACACAAAAAATAAATGGTGATCCTTTTTGGACAGTATATCTGGTTCACCTGGGAACCCCAGGTGAACCAGGCACACGAGAGAACCCCAACGGTATATGACATGTTACATAATGGAAAGGACCAATCTGACCAGAGTAAATTGCCAGGCATATAACGAATCCTGGTGAGAGATGAGAGATTCAGCAGGGATTTGATCTACATAGAATCAACGAAATGCTCAATGGGGACCAGGATTAAGGAACACAAAGCAGATATACAGTACAACAGAGCTACCACGTCACTTGCGATTTATGCATCAGAACCAGGCATCAATGTGGACTTCGCAGGGGCATCGCTAATAGTCAAAACAAAACGCATGGAACACCTCAAATGACTAGAAGCGATAGAAATATATAAGGTGCACACTACATTTACATGCATTAACTCCCAAGAAATGGCTCTTTCGTTAGTAATCATTATGTAATAAGGCTTGCCAAGCTAAGGTTTTTAGTTGGTGTAGGAGGATACATGAGGATATGTAACGATCATAATAAAAATAGTGCATCATACATGTGTGAGAAGAGTAAATGATGGGGACACGACAGATACAATTGCATGCGCAGTGAACATCACACAATTGAATCTTCATTCAAATTTTTTCTTTTTAAAATTGCGTGAGTGTTTTAGAATAAGGAATCCAGCCGTTTTACCTGAGGAAGGACACTAAAGGTGTTCGAAAAACGTTTGTTTTTACAAAGTTGTTTATTTTTTGTATTTCTACACACCGGTTAGAGGCTCGAGTAAGTAGGTTTTATTTATTTATTATACACACCCTGGTGTGCATGAAGAAGTTATATTGGTAACTGCTATAGATAATAGCAAAGAATCTTTTTCTATAAATCTTTTTGATGCAGTAAACTTTGTCCATATGCATGGCAAAATGTATCAATGCAAACAACAGCAAATTGTTTTGACAAGCTGGCTTTCTACAAACTAATGGAGAAGAGTTTGATTCAGATAACATTCCGATCAACAAACTTTTGAAAAAAGTAAACTAACTAACAAATGATGAAACACAAAGCATTCAAGATGTGTTCCTCTGCAGTTACCAGATGCATTTTCTGACTACAATTTTGAAGAATATATCAGAGTTGATTACCATTATTAGTAGGAAATTTTTGACCAATGATGATGATATAGCTTCAGTGTCTTCCAAAAATAATGAAATTAGGGAGGATGAAGATGACGATACAACATACACAGACAGTGTGGCTGTTTCGATAATGCCAATTTCTGAAGAAGTTTTGCAAAACATTATTGTTACTTGAGAGTTTTTACAAATGCATAATACTCCACCAAATATTTTAAACAGTTTTGCTGAGGTGGAACTATACAGTATATTACAGAATGTTATGCAACTAGCAAAAATTGACAAACAAAAATAACAGTTTTTTAAGTAACCATGTACATTTATTATATTGATGTTTTGATGGCTAACTTTCTATGTAATAATTTGTTATATTTTATCTTTGAGACATTAAACTTTAGTTTTTCAAAATTAGACTATGTTTTATTTCTTAACCAATATAACAAACATTGGTTATAATGAACCAGTTCAGATGGCCTGTAAAGGTTTGTTACAAGTGGACACTTACTGTATATAATAAATTTTAAAAATGTCTTTACATTTCATTTTTTTTTACAGATCAAAAACAACAATCTTACAATTAACAAACAACTACAAAAACCTAAAAAAACCAGCAAAATATTTAAAAATGTGAATGTTTTCACCTGTGTTGAATGGGCATCATCAGGCAAACAACTGCTGAGATAAACGGGGATTGCTGAGCATGTGTGTAGGGAGAGATGACAAATGATGTAAGACGTAGGTGCCTGTCAGGCCCACCTACCAGGCATCTACAGTATCCCCATCAACGATCATTAGTTCCAACAAGTCGCCATTTACAATACACAGGAGCTACAACTCTCCCTTTAGATACCCACCTCAAAGAGCATCAGACATCTATCAAAAAAGGTGTGGCCAATACGGCTTTGGCTATCTATGCCTCTGACCCAGACATCAAAGTTGAATTCCGCAAAGCATGACAATTACGTAATGCCTCCAAACAATCTTTCCTTAAGCATCTGGAGCAGGTGGAAATATACAAGGCCATCTGCAATAACACAGCCATAAATTTTTGTGATGTTGACTCCTTCCCCACAGTGTGGAAGTCTTTCTACAAAATTCTCACTTGCCTCCCCATTCTCTTGTCTTACGTCATTTGTCATCTCCCATACACACGTTTGGCAATCTCTGTTTATCTCTCAACAGTTTTTGCCTGATGATGCCCATTCAACATAAACAAAATCATTTGCATTTTTAAATATTTTGCTGGTTATAACCAGTTATAAAACAGAAGTTGTTATAACAATCTTACATTAATTAATCCAGAAATAAATTGTAAATTTAGAGAACTAAAGAACATATTTTTCAAAACCTGATGTAAACAGCAACATTTCTTCTGACTGACAAGAATATCATCCAAAATACTTTAATACCACTCTTAATGTAAATGCATTTTGGGCTTTAGCCCTCCTCAGTATATGCTACAATAATACAATAAACTTAGTAAACAATTATATAGTGAGATTTAAACAATATTATTGCAAAGTCAACTTTCAAAAGGTCAACTATGCTGTAAGACTATACAGGGTAGATCATTTTAATCATCTAGTGAAATAATTTAAGATACACATCCTACAAAAAAAATCATTGAACCAAAACTGGTATAACAGTTTTGGTTCAATGATTTTTTTTGTTGAGTACAGTTTGAGGGAACCACAAGATTGGGCTGTCAATTTCATCATAGATGGCTTATTCTAGACAATATATGATAAAATTGATAGCCCCATTTTCTTAAATGGAAATCCCCTTTTATTGCATATTCTAATTTGACATAAAAAATTTTAAATGTTTTATCTAAATGTTTGTTTTTGAAAGTTGCACTAACAGGTGTTTGAAGTTTCATGAAGCTGACATAGTGCATGTGTGAATCTGTGGATATCTGTGAGCTGCTTAACTTTACCAGCAAACATTTAAAACTGCATGTGATGCCATCAGTTATATTTTTTAAAAAACTTTATATTTTTAATTATTATAAAATGAAAAAATTGGGTCTTAATTTTTAGAGTAGGGATGAGTTTTATAAATAAATTTGTAAACGCTAATAAGATGCAAAATCATCATTAAGTCCAACTCTACTTGAGATATGACCCATGACTCCTCTCTCTCCTCACCCAATCGATCTTCAAATACCAAAATTTAATAGCATCAATCACCCTAATATACAAATCTACCTACAAAATTTTAGAAATTTTAATTATGCCTCCCACATACACTAACATCCATACATACATACATACATACATACATACATACATACAGAAAGAAAAAAACACTGCAAAGTTTTTTTTTTGCATTTCTCAACATTTCAAGGTCCCAAGTCCAAAAATGTAAAAATCTTTGGGAGTCATTTTCTGACTGATCACCATATGATACTTTATACAGTATGTAGATTGATTAGAAGTATTCTCTCAATCTCTTTTTTAAATTGTATGTATTGTTTTAAAAAATTGGCTGACAAATTTACACAATAAAAAATATGTAGAAAGACAAATATTTTCACTTTTGCTATGTCCAATCACCATAAACAAT